TATTGGGGGGGGGGGGGGGGGGGCGGGGTGTCGACAGCATTTGGGGTCATTTTAAATAAATGGCAATGCAAGGCATATTAAGGGGAATGGATCAATACTGGAGCAGGCAGAGTCTGGAGCAGTTGCCCATGGCAACCAGTCAGCTTCTATGTTTCATTTTCCAAGCTTAACTGAGCAAACTGATTTTGTCTGGGGGGTGGCCGCAGTTGGCCCACCCCTGGAGTAGGGTATTCCTGCCCCATTTTCAACAATCTACGGCCCACAATTGACAGCTCTGTAGGCAAGTTTGCCACCATAGAAAACCAAAGCCTTGGTGTTAATTACACCGCAGGCTATCAGTTAGCACAATGACAAATTCTCGCACTCACAGTGTCTAAATAAAAACCCCGGCGGACACCTCATACCTGGTTCCCAGTAACACATCCATACTTTACATCCAGAAGGAACAAAGGAAGGCTGAAGAGTGCTTAGATCTTGAAAAGACAGGAAGCTGGCAGGGCTGGAAAGGAAAAAGAAAGAATATAGTAATTATATACAGAGGAAACCTAATCTGTATTTAGTTTCAGATTTCTAACAGCTATGCTACACAGGTGGGTTTGATTACAGGAAGGCGATAGCAACGCCTTAGACAGGAGCAATGCATGAAGGCGGAGGAGTATCCCATAGCAACCAATTTCCCAACATCATTTTTAAATACGGCTTTCCAAAGTAGAACTGAAGCCAAAACTTTTTTTAGTAGTGAGGGTTCGCTTTTTTTTCCCTTCTGTTTGTGTCCCATTGGCAAAAATTTCCCTTCACTTCCTGTCCAATAGCCACAACAGGAAGTGAAAGGAAATCCCTCCAAAGTGAGGACAATCCTTGAAGGGTCACCAGAACTAGTGTCCCCATTGGATGATTTCCCATCTATTCCTGTTCTGATGACAACCCAAAATTTCGGATTTTGTTTTACTTTCACCCTCAGTGAAAGTAACGATATCCAGGAAAACTAGGGAGAGTGACTTTTCCTAATAGGGTTAGGGAAACCCCCTTGAGGAAACGGTGGAGAGAGCGGGGAGAGGCAGCCAGGAGCCATAATAAACAAATGTAAGTGTAAGCAAAAAAAAAAAATTGATTACTGGATTTATAATTGCGATTAACAATCAATAGTCCTAAGAAGATCTACAATAACAGTCCTAAAGGAATCACTACGGCAGGGGTAGGCAAACTCTGGCCCTCCAGCTGTGGTGAAACTACAATCTCCATCATGCATCTGCAACTGGGAGTCATGCCTGTGGCTGTCAGAGTCTTGCAATTCCTCATGGGATTTGCAGTTCCACAGCAGCTTGAGGGCCGGTGTTCTATCGAAAGCTCCAACTCGTCGAAATCTCCAACTACCTCACTGCCGGGTACCTGCAATTGGAGATTTTGACCAGGTGGCGTTAGATTGCAAAACACAAAGACTGATGTATGATGTGGTACGGTTGTATTTTAACAATATTCAGCAGGTGGCAAACTCAACGAGTATTCTGAAAACGCTATGCGCACATGCACACTGCAACTGTACAGAGCTCCAGTCTTTCTGAGCACCGGAAGTGAGGTAGTTGGAGATCTCGATGAGTTGGAGCTTTCGATAAAACACCGGAGGTTGCACTATGAGCTTCGTATACACTGGGCGGTAGTGCCTCCAGATGGTGCTGATGAGTATAGGAATTTCCTATTCATGTCAGTGCCATCTAGGGGTGCTACTGCCATGCTGATGGCATCTGTCCGGCTATAGAGTTTTATACATGAAGCCCTTGGAGTCCTCACGCCATACACTAATATGTACATTATAAAGGCTTTTTATTTGTTTTTCTTTCACATGAGGAATCCCGTGTCCAGATTTTATAGTCACCAGTTGCAGCTCTGTGACAAAACTGACATATACAGTGGATTACAGCGAGCAGCTGTTGTTGCCGGTGACCCTGTTTGTTCTTATGGCCTCTTCAGATCTCTGCACACACGTGTGACAAGGATGGCACTAAAATGGGATGTGTCAACTCCGGACTTAACAAGGACTCAGTTTACATGCTAGCAACTCGCTGCTGATTTTTAGGGACTGGAGGGGGATTTGGTTCCTAGAAGAAATATCCCAGAAACTAATTTAAAATATTGGCGACCGTAGGCTACAGGTGGCAATACATTTATGGATTCTTCTCGTTCAGCCCAGTAGAGTGATCCTTTGGGAAGGGTTTCTATGAACGGCCAAGGGGTGTCTGCAAATATAATGGCATTTCAGCAAAAAAAAAAAAAAAGTTAAAAAGACTCACTATGGGTAACATATTTTATCGGTCCGGTCTTCCCATGGCCAACACAGGTCTATGTCTTTACAGCCATTCATCATTTTAAAATCCTTTCCAGAATCTGCTAACAGGTGCTGGATGTCTAGAGCAGCATTTTGTAATAAAAAACTTTATTGAGACACAAGTTTTACAGATGTAGCAAGCTGAACGAACAAAGCACGCGGTGAATATAATGCTACAATTGTAGAGTCGGTGCACACGGCACCTGTGGATTCTGCTGCAAAAGGGTCCAGTAACTGCACAGCCCCTCGGCCGGCCCACCAACTCCTTTCTACTCTAAGCCGAGGGTGTGTGAATGGGTACAAGTCCCAGCAGGTGACTGTTGATACAACTGTTAGCCTCTGATCAGTGCCAGCAAGCTGTGGGGGGAAGGGAGGGGGCTTCTATTAAAGTCTGACAGCCTGACACCAAGCTCTGTCTCTGCATTCCTCTGCCTTTGGTGCGGCTAAATTCGGAACACAGCCCTCCAATCACATCAATGGAAGGCACAGGGAGGGGGTCCTCCAAAGGGAAGGCTTACTAGGTGCTAGGGTCTCGTTTTCCCCCTGTCCCTTTTTCGTGTGGCAAGCAAGACTTGATGGCAGGAGGTGCGTAAGCCTGTAAGACACAATCAAACTCTTTCTGAGAAGTCGTAGCAGCAAGCTCCCTCCAGGTATCCATTATTGACAGGTATTATGGGCTTATCCGGGGGGTTGGGTGTGCTTACGATGATCGCTGTCGTCGCCCACGGCTAATATGTTAATTGCATTCTTTTTCTTTCCTCCTTTCTGTAAAGTTTCTGTAAAGTAGGAGGCTGCACTCCCAGAATGCACAGGGACACTCATTCAGCCATTATACTTGGGGACTGAGACAATGCTGCTTGATTTTTAGTAGCTGCATAGCAGGGGCCGCCGCTCGCAGGCACCTGTGACTGATGACAAGCCGAAGAAACATCAGTTTCATAGCTGTGTGTGGAAGGTTATCTGCCCTATCCATCTCCCTTTAGGCGAATAAGTGCCAATGAGCAGCTAAGCAAACATTTTTATTCTCTCCGGTGTGAAAGATGCCTCTCATGCCATGGAAAATGTAAACATTCAGAAAGGGTGGTCATCATTTATGGTGAATTTTTTGCATTCTTTCTCTTATGTTTCTGTAGATGCTGTGTTCCATGAAACCTATTCTTAATGCAGTTTGTATTCTTCCTGCAGGCGCCAGGCAAGCTGGTTCCGTCGCTTAATTAGAGTGCTTACAAGGCTGGTTAATGTACTGTCTAATTGCATCCTCCGCTTGGTGGCTGCAGCGAGCCTGGTCCCCACATGGACTTATAACAGGAGACATGTACTGGAACGCCACATTTGTTCTGTCTTCTTGGGAGTTCTGCAAAGATGTTTAAAGGCCATGACAGGATCAAGCTGTTCGTTAGCACGGTGACATTTCGGCGGTGACACAGTGTTTCCATTCAAGCAGAAATTTAATTTAACTGAATTTCTTTCGCAAATTGGGCACATTCCCAGGGACACCAGCAAATTTGGTGGCGTTACGAAGAAATAAAAGCTGATATTTTGAATTGCTTTTTTCCCCCTTTTATACCAAAGCATCGTGAATACTGAACCAAAGTTGAGAAATATGTTTTTATTTAAGTTCTGCTGTGTTAAGTTTGCAGCTGGTTTTCTTGTCAATTAACCACTGCTTACATACTGTCCAAAGATTGGCAACAGGAGATGCAAATGAAAGTAAGGCTTTCCTGAGGGCTCGTTGGCAATACAAGATTGGCTTGACACCAAGGTCCATGCCGAACAGGAATCTCTCCTCCTTTGAAGACAATTCAGAATATGTACCGCTCATAAACAGCGCAAGTGATCTAATGACACCTCTCTGTGACGATGCCACTAACCAAGACCTGGAAGGAGACTATGTGGACCTCTTAGATAATGCTGTTACAGCAGAAATTAGGCCAATCGCTCCCTGCCACCGTGAAATGGGGGATGCCAACAGGATCCCAAAAGGCAACGAAGATCCTGTTACAAGTGTCACTAATAATAATAAGTGGGTGTGTGGAAGACTTCAGGCCAGCGAAAAAGGGGCGTGTACCCCTTGCCTAAGGAGAAAGTTTAACAAAGATCTGGACGCCAAGGAAACAAAGTGTCGCTTTCGTCAGTCCTACTTTGCTGCTCTTAAAAATCCAGTTAGCTTTAACTCTGCCCAAATGGATGACATTTTGGAGGAACCCATGAGCAGGTCCACCATGTTTGCGGCACTAGAAAGTCCCATCTGTTCCCGTCGCAAAAATCAATGCCAAGCGTCTTCGTCTTGGCTCTTCTCACCAAAATCAGAGTCAAAGCCAGGAGATCTACATACACCGCTACGAAACCCAAAAACAAACCCATCTACGGGGTCAGATTCATCATCCCCGTCTCTTGTACACAGGTTCTCCTTTCTAAGAGGCCAACGCAATTCTTCATCTGGGAGTGATGGCCTATCAATGGATTCTAACTCAAGCCAGTACAGTGGAACATGGAGACGGGTATCTGCAGTCTGCTCCCCCCGGCTTAGTCGTGCCAAGTTCTCTGGAAAAGGTATCAGTGAAATGAACAATACATTTTTTCTATAGTATTTCATAAGTTTTTTTTGGTGGTATTAAAAGCATCACTTCAACTTTGGAAAACAATAAGTGTAGAGTGGTCCACGAGGACCCTATGCCAAAGATTGCACTTCTTAATGGAGATCCCTGATGGGATTTGAGATTCCATTTGACTATGTTGGTGGTTACAGTCACAACTGCTTTCCTTGATGACTAATTGCTCCTTAGTTATACAACCTCAGAGCCCCAAAGCTAGCCACATGACATGAGAGAAATATGGGGTTGCCCTTGCTGACCTCCTGAAAATCCTAGTTTCCTGACAGTGGCTCTTTGATGTCAGTACTATGAGTCACTAACCCTGAACCAGGGTCCAGTGGAGACAAGTCAGTGTTTGCATAGTTGTCCTGGGCAGTGAAACAACTATTGAAGCCATAAGAGCCAGCAACTAGCTAACTTGTTCAGAAGGAGAGGTCAGCAATGGTAGCCGCCATATTTCTGTCATGATAGGTTTTGTTCAAGACAGTAACCTTTAGAAACGTTGGATTTTGAGTGGATCGACCCAATCAGATTTTCAGCTTCCCTTTCTAGCCTGGTCTAGATAAATAAAAACTTTAGTTGCTATGGGAAACAAATACAGCTTCCTGTCACACACTTTTATATGCATGTGGGTTATAGATTTTTAATGCAGTGGTTCCTTTTATTTTTATGTGGCCCCTAAGATCCCTCTTTCGGCCCCATTCACACCTAAGCATTTTGTTGTGTGATTGTCAAAGTGCTACAACACTCGAGATGAAGAATCCCAATATTCTTACAGGGCCTATTCACACCTGAGCATTGTGGCAAGGCTTTCAAGAAGAATTCTGGACAAATCAAATCTTAACCCTTGCAGTGGGGTTGCCTGTTGCAAAGCTCAAAAAAGATCATGAATGTCTTTTTGGGACAGAATTGGGCATTCTGGCCCCATAGACTAATGAAAGAGCTTGAAAAACTCATCTTCACACATCTTTTTTAGGCACTCCCATTTAAAAGTCTATTGGGCCAAAAATGGCCGATTCTGCTCCTGCACTACAAGTCGTACATAAGAACGCTCAAGAAAAGCCTCCAAATAATCAGTTCATGCTTAGGTGTGACTGGGACAGATGTTATTGATGCGCATTTCTTTTGAACATGGGGCCCTAAGAATGCGTTAAAGCAGATTAGACACTGATTGGATGTTGATTTCTTTGCATTGGCTTACTTTTAATTACCTATACTGTATGCTCTACCAATTGTAATGTCTATGCGGCCCTTGTCAGACCTCACCTAGAATATTATGCACAGTTTTGGGTCCCATCTACAAAGAGAAACAGCAAAAAGTTTTCCTGGCACACTCACAAGCTAGCATGTAAAAAAAACTTGTATCTACAAAGAGGACCTTGGGGAATGTGAAGGCATTCCAAAGTGGACAAAGAGGTAGAGATCTTAAAATGTAGCAAAAGATGACACAATTTTGGGTATGTTTATTCAAGCAAAAAGCTTAGCTGGTGATTTTTAAGAAGAACTCTGGGCAAATAAAACCCCAACCCTTGCCAGTGGAGCTACCCCTGCATTGCAAGGGTTAAATTCCTGTTTTACCAAGGGAGCTAAAATACCAGAGATATACTCATTCGAACCATGATGCCGGCTGGCATCATGGTTCGAATGGCAACCATGATCCTAGACTTGTCCGTTCAGCCTTGCTAGCCTCCAACTCCAGCGATGGTATGTCCCACATCGTCCTCACATTCTATACACTGTATAGGACTTGATGACTCAAAGGACCTTAGAACAAGAAGCGGAGGGGGTAAAGGCTGATGGGACCTGTCTTTGAAGCAGCCAGGTGAGTATAACTTTGTAAATTTTAGCTCCCTAGGTAAAAGGAGCACTTAACCCTTGCAGTGCAGGGTAGCCCCACTGCAAGGGTTACGATTTGATTTGCCTGGAATTCTGCTTGAAAGCCTTACACCAGTCGGTAACCTTTATTAGATGTCCCTACTGGGAAAGAAGTAATGTGAATACGCTAACATGGGTACAGAAATAAATCATCCTTGGGAAGTGTTAGAACATTTGTAAGTTTTTTTCCTACCTCTATTATGGTGTCACTTGTTCTTTTATTCCTGTATTGGTTTCCCTAGTGGTGTCACAGGCAGCAAGAATTTTTTTTTTACATAAAGTATATTGGAACCTTCTATTCAAAGCTAAAAAAAAAATTATTTTCGCTTGACGTTGGCTTTTGTATATTATTGGCAATGTATGGCCAAGGGACAGAAACACTCCTGCTGTAGCGAAAGCATTGAAACTCCCTAAGGCTTATGGCAACCGTTTTGGGAACTCTAGTATCGAGATATGATCACTGGAGTCATCTGCACTATTCGTGTATTCTGAAATCTGACCAGCCAACCATCTGCAGTCACTGTTTAGGTATTTTGACAACTGTGGGCCCTGGCTGTAAAGCTGACCATACACCTGTAGATTACACGCAGATTTTCTATGGTCAGATGGAAAAAGTGCAACAGATTCTACGCTAAACTGTGTGGATGGAGGAATCTCCCACTGGGCCAAGCTTCAGTATCTTGATAGTCGGCCCCGCTGGCACTCAGAATACCTGAACAATCTGATTGGATGCAGGCATTGTTTAGGTATGTTGACAGCCAGCGGGGCCAACTAGCTATACTGAAGCTTGGCCCAGTGGGAGATTCCTCCATCCACACAGTTTAGGGTAGATGGAGGAATCTGTTGCACTTTTTACATCTGACCCTTGAAAATCTGCAGATAATCTATAGGTGTATGGCCAGCTTTATAATAAAAGGCCACAGCAGGAGATTTGTCTGTCAATGCTGTTTAGCAGACTGAACGGAAAAAAAATCTAATAGTATATAGCCAGCTTAAAAGTAATGCAAAGCCATTAAGTGACTTCAGTGATATCATTCTTTGGGTGGTCCACTGTGCCAAAAATAATTTGTAAAAGTACCCACTCCTGGGAGATTATATCATTTTCTACAGTGCATGTTCTCCTGCAACTTTTACTACACTAGTTTGTTTTTATTTTACAGCATTTTTGTATCTTCTAGTGCAGGGGTAGGAAACTTCAGCACGCCAGCTGTTGTGGAACTACAAGCCATTGTAAGACTCTAAAACCACAGGCATGACTCCCAGAGATGGGATTTGTAGGATCACCTGAACTGGAGTGCCAAAGCTGCCTACCCCTGTACCCGGGGTTTCCCCTTTTAAGCAGTTTATTTCGATTACACTAGAATACACCTAGCGGTATTGTGCTATCTGCATTAGGGCCTTATTGTAACCAAAGGTGCTGGAACGTACGGTAGAAAGACATGACGAAAAAGCACAGAATGCAGCATCCACTGATTAATCGCCTTGTTGCTAGGGGGAATTCCTCTCTCGGACATTTTAGTCATGAGGCCTGCTGTTTGGAAACATTCTACTCTGGGCACTGGTGATCACATTCCTTTCTGGTTATAACAGTAGAACTTGATATATGGCCAGCAGTATTATATGTCAGCTATACTGTACAGTATTGTGTTTTTTTCTTTTAAGCTGACAGCATACAGTGCAGTAAATTTGGCAATAATAGAGGTTTCATGTGCCAGATGTAATCCCATAAACGCTTAATACATAAATTTTGGCAGCTAGATCTCATTTTCAGTAAGCGGTAAATGCACTTCTACTTCTTAAATATTCTTTGGATTGGAAGTCTAACGAAAGTTTGGTATGCACCCAGATCTCTTCTGATGGTGGAAAAATATGGTGTATTCATTTAAGCCAATACTTTCAATGACCAGTAGAGTGCTTAAACGTCCAGGATCGAGTGCTGTCTTGTGGAAGCTGTTAGAGTGCCTTGTAGAAGCAGAATGTCTTGTGGAAGTCTGTAGAGTGTCTTGTGGAAGCTGGTAAAGTGTCTTGTGAAAGATGGTAAAGTGTCTTGTGGAAGCCATCAGAGTGTCTTGTGGAAGCCATCAGAGTGTCTTGTGGAAGCCATCAGAGTGTCTTGTGGAAGCCGGTAGAGTGTCTTGTGGAAGCCGTTAGAGTGTCCTGTGGAAGCCGTTAGAGTGTCTTGTGGAAGCCGTTAGAGTGTCTTGTGGAAGCCGTTAGAGTGTCTTGTGGAAACCAGTAGAGTGTCTTGTTGAAGCTGGTAAAGTGTCTTGTGAAAGATGGTAAAGTGTCCTGTGGAAGCCATCAGAGTGTTTTGTAGAAGCCATCAGAGTGTCTTATGGATGCCAGTATAGAGTCTTGTGGAAGCTGGTAGAGTGTCTTGTGGAAGCCAGTATTGTCTTGTGGAAGCCAGTAGTGTCTTGTGGAAGCTGGTAGAGTGTCTTGTGGAAGCCGGTAGAATGTCTTGTGGAAACCAGTAAAGTGTGGAAGTAGGGGTGATTCTACCCAGTGGGCAAAAGATTATTTTTATTGGGTTTTTCATATGCAAGAACAAAAGAAAACAATATACATCATATATGCATGTAAGATCACGTGGTTTAAATCCTTGACCAGGGACACCAACTTAGTTGAGTTACATAAACAAATACATAGTAACAAGGTGTATAAGTACATAAGGCCATTTAAATGTCCAACAAACAAATACAATGAAGTTCTTATGGCATGCCCTATGACTATAAATGGTCTTGCAGAGATGAAGCGAAGAGTTTATTAAACAAATGCAGCCAACACATCTAAGGACTGATAAGCCGCAATATATTCCATTATTCTTTTTGGGTTCGGATACAGTAAAGTAAAAAAAATTTCATCAGTGTAAATAAAATGAAAGGATAATTCTTTTTACGTAGGCACTCCATGCAGATTTTTATAGCTTATCCACCATCCCTATAGAATGTGACCCTGACCTTTACCCCTAACAGTCAATCTCCACAGCTTGGCATCCAAAGGATTTTAAATGAAGGGTCTTCATTGTAAATATATTAACTAGGCCAAAAGAACAGCTGCCACAGAACTAGGGCTCAATGTACA